CACACACGCAAAGACAATACATTACATGTCATACAAAATATTTACTTACATCCCTTTTGCCTCTTCTCACTTACAAGTGCATTTATGAATTGGACAGTACCAACACCTTCACCTCACCTAACCAACCCCCCCACATTTTACAAGAACAAGTATATTATAAATTTTTCCAAAACAAATAAATAAATAAATATCACAAATTTTCGTATGGGACTTGACATACGGTTAAGTATGTCGATCTTTCATATTCTTTTACGCTATTGTGATCGGAAGCATAAACAGTTATTTATGTAGGTCGATTGGTCATACTTTATTTCTACATATTGTGATCAGAAGCACAAACAGTTATCGGGACCTAGAAATTTTCAAATAGTAACAGACACTCGTCGCCCATATAGGTCATACTTTTTACGACAATATGGTAGAGAACATATATAAACAGTTGCACGGTTAGGTAGATCGACCAGTCATACTTTTTTTAGAACACTATAATCGCGAGCACAAACAAGACGTGGAATTTTCAAGTAGTAATTGTCAGTGGTCGACCACCAATGATACTTTTTTACAACATTATAGTCGAGAGCATAAACATTTATCACACCTAAGCTAAGTAGGTCGAGCAGTCATACTTTTGTACACAACATTGTGATCAAGAGCACAAACAATTAGTCAATGGTCAACACTTTTTTACGACACTGTGCTTGGGAGCTTAAACAGGTATAAGGGTTAGGCAATTTGATCGTATCGAATATTATCTTTAACGTCGTGTCATTGTGAATAGGAACATAAACAGATATCGGGACATGGATTTTCAAATAATAACAGTCAGAGGGTCGACCCGTTATACATTTTTACGGTAACCGAGCATATTTAAGGAGTGGAGAGATACTGGGACGTGGAATTTTGAAATATTAATTATAATTATCTAATGAATTTCAATTTGAAGGGTCAATTATTTTGACGCTATGTATAAAATGATGAAGCAATGACTGTCACGCTCGAGCTTCCACATGCTTCTTGTCTAATAACAGTAGTGTTAGTCCTTTATGAGTTGGGCCTCGTCTCGTGGATCAGAGTAATTACAGGGAAATTAATTTGTAAACATTGACTCTGACTTTATGTTGTAACTTGTAAGCAACGCAAATTGACTATCTGCAATATTATATAATATATAATTTTGTGTAAGACATATATTATTCGTTATTCAAGTCATTTCATACTTTTTTTAATAATAATATATATTAGTTAACTTAATTTTGTGTAAAACTAGGCATAATGAAAATTTGAGTTATATATATATATAATTACTAGCTGATGCATTTAATAAAATATTTAATAAAACTTATTTTTATTTCCCTCTAAAAGGAGTTACATTTTTTTAATTAATTACTCACTAGTCTGCTAAAACCATTATACCTTAATATATATATATATATATATATATATATATATATATATATTTATTATTTATTTTTTTGGATCAGTTACTAAATTAATTCTAAATTTGGTAGCAAAATATTCAAATGTGTAACGGCTGATGTTGGAACTTAAATTTGATTGACACATTCAGAGTTGTAACCGTTATATTTGGTTGCATTGTTGGAAAAAAAAAATATGATTGACACATATTTTTTTTCTTTCTAAAAATCAGAAACACCAATAATTTTTTTTAGTTATGTTAATTTTCTTAATATATACCACAAATATATTAATTATTTTATTCATGTTACTATTATAAATGTTGCATGGTTAAAATAAAATTTAAATCTGAATTAATTTTGAACGATAAAAATAACTTAAGAAAAAGTAATAATTTTTATATGATAGAAGTACATGTCTAATTAATAAATACAAACAAAAACGTGTTTTATATCTGTGCAAATACGCATGATCAAATACTACTGTATATAATGCTTATACAAAGCTACTTGGAATTAGCTTAAAATAGCTGATTATTTAAAAGAAAAAAAAAAGTGATGTAATAATTTTGGTGAGAATTGACTAATCCTCATATATACTATCTCTCTCTCTAGAGGAGGCAAATAGTAGCAGGGCCCTTGACTATTCCTTTCCATACTCTTCTAATTCTTGGAATTTGGCAGTGCACATTTTCCTACAAAATTGAAGTGGAAATAAAGTTAAGAAAACAACATATCATGAGGAATAATATACACATCTCTTTAAAACCCTCTCTCTCTCTCTCTCTCTCTCTCTCTCTCTCTCTCTCTCTCTCTCTCTCTCTCTCTCTCTCTCTCTCTCTCTCATCCTTAATTACAACTACTACTACATGCCTTTTGTCTCCCTCATTGTATTTGCACCAACTATCCTGTGGAGGGCTTTTGTTGTATATGGTGCTGACACTATTTGTTTGTACTGTGTGCTGTATATATGGTACCCACACACAATTGTTTGATGTATTTGAGTTGGAATTGAGTTTTTTCTTTTTTTTTTTATTGTCTGCTACACCTTTTTTTGTTCTCTTTTCTATGTTGTGTACAGTGTACAGTTAAAGTCAAAATTGCTGCATGGTCAAAGATACACTTACTCACTTGTGCATATATGTGTGTGTGTCTTCACATGGATGACCAAATGGTCTTTCTACAGGTCATGGACTCTGAAATGTGTGATATATATTTCCTTTATTTTTTTTATTTCTCTAAAGGTAACTAAATACAAAAAAAAACATCATATGAAACGCATGAGATGAACGACTAGTTTTAGTTAGAAACTATATAGTTCGGCTATGGAGCTCTTTGGAAAGTCGTCCCCAATTATTTGCAATTGTACATTTACATGTATCTGAAAAATAAATATATTTTAAACAGATTTCAATTCATAAATTAACTAGTGAGAATCTCGTGCGATGCACAGGGTTTCGTATTTTAAAATATTTTTTCAAAATTTTATTTTAACAATATATTAGCCCGTTGACCCGTTTATATTAATATAAACAATATTTTAACATATATCTTTGTTTTTTAATACAGAAAAAATAATAATATTACATTTTTTGATTCATCATAATACTCAAATATTATTTGAATTAAAAAGTTATGGTCGTATAAGGTCATTATTATTTATAACACTTATAGAAGTAATTTTATTTTTTATCTAATAATAAATATTTGTATTAATATTATTTATTGATTTGATTAATTTAAAATTATATAAGCAAATTTAATGTTTATTAGGAATATGATTATATGGAAGGTAAGATAAAATAGAATGAATAAACCTTAATTGAATAATCCACCATTTAAGCGAGTATTTAATGTTGCCTGATTTTATGATAAATAAAATTCAAATAATTTCTCAAAGCGACATGCAATTAATTTTGGTGTATTTTTTTTGTTACTTTTTTTGGGTAAATAAGTTATCTCTTTATATAGATATAGATTTACTTTTTTGGGTAAATAAGTTATCTCTTTATATAGATATAGATGAGTGGCAACATAGAGCTTTTCAAAATCATAAATTATTGCGTAGTAATATTTGAATAATAAAAAATTTGCTTTTAATTTTTTTAAATTATATCACTTGTGTGTATTAAAATCAACATATTCATTAATATTTATATAACTCAACCATCCTATTTGTTTCAAGAATGGTGTAATAGGGATGCCATGAATGCATTTTCAGTAATCCCTAATGTCATAAGTTCTTAGTTTATCCATATCGGAATTGATCTCTGTTTTCAAATTTAATGCGCAGTGTACCAAAATGTGATATGATTATCTTTATCAAGGAATTCTATCTCGCATAGTATGCGGAAGAACCTTGTTAAAAAAGGACCCCAAAGAAAAGGAAAAGGAAAGATTTAAAACAACTATATATTTTTTCTTACAAATATCAATATGAAATTATTTACCATCATAATTGTACATCACTCCTGACTTGAAATTTAAAACAACAGATAAGCTAAGCCCGTCAATATTGGATTTCTCATAAGGGCAAAAATAGAAAAAGAAGAAAATAAAATACCAACATGTAATTACATAACAGTAGAGAGTAAATGTAAAAAATTGAAGATACATAAAAATATAAAGAGGATCTGTAGTAAGAACATACATCATTCCATTTCTTTCCAAGTAATGTATATCGTCCACCGACGTATAAGAAACATGACCAGAGTTTGGAGCAGGTAGAGCATTTTAAAAACGATATGGCAAACGAGTCGAAAATGGAGGAAAAAAAAAAAAAAAAAAAAAACCACATTGTATATCCAAACTTAACGTGCCAACGAATTTGTCCCATTTGACGGCAACAGTGTGTTCAACTGCATCCTGAAAAGGACTGTCAGCGCACCACGAACTTCCATCTGAGGAAAAAGGTATTTCTCGTTAGAGCTCCATAAATGGGATTTTACATATCCTAAGTTAATCAGCAAATACGACATTTAAGATTATTAGTAAAAAGTGGTATTTACTGAAATAATCTTAACATAGCAAACAGGATAAGATAGAGAGAGAGAGACAAAGGTAAAATAAGTTCATCTCCAATTGTAGTGTTAAACAAAACAGCTTTAGGTAGCACAATGCTATTTGGTTCAAATCAAAGCAATGAAATCATAAAAAATTTCTGATTCAAGGATATCACCAATTTTTTGAGTTATCTCAGAGCTTGAGAAAGCAAAGAATATGCAGCCTTTAATGTTTCTGTAATGAAGCAAACAAATAGGATTTGGCTTATTTTAGGGTCAACTGGGAGTTTACCTGGTCACAGCACACAAGTTTTGTAATCAAAGGATAAAAGTCCCTGAAGTGGCTTCTGAAAATACGGGCATTCATTTGACACATGCCTTTCAGCACCTGGAATATCACAAAATTAAGCTTCTGAGAAAGACGTAGGTTCTGCATCTTGATATAGTAAACTTCCAGCCATATAATATACACAAACTTGAGAACAAGCGTGTTTGTATACAAATATATCCGCTCAAAATGAGATTTTTTTTTTTTTTTTTTAACCAGAGTTAATTTTGAAAAAAAGTGGTATGGTTAGTTGTTAGTGAGATTTTTAATTTTATACTAATTAATATTTAAAATAAAATAGTTAAAGTTGATTTGATGTAAAAGTAGAAGAGAGATAATGTGAAGTGATAGTTAGTTAAAATTATGTGAGTGGACATGGATTAATAGTAGGTGGACGAGTGTAAGAATGATTGGTTGGTATTATTTGATTATATTAATAATACTGGGGATAGTGGTGTTGAGTTAAAGTTGAATTAGATTTTGAGTATGAATTCAATATGGATTGAGTTTTTTTTATATACAATCACACCCTAAAATAAGAATCCACCAAAAAGTTACAAAAAAACAATAAGGAAGCATACCGTCACTATTATGGGAGATCGAAGCTCTAGAACTCGATGAACGTCCATATTACTTGTCTCCTCCATGCTAGATTGAAAATCTGATGCCTCCCTCAGCACCTGTTCACAAAAAGACACAAGCTTTCCTTCCGCTATACCTTCAATTTTATCGTCTTCTGCATCATCCACTTTGTGATTATCATCTTTTTCTGTTGCTTTATGTAAGATATTCAGATAGATACAAGTTCCAGAGAGTTCCTGACGAAGAAGATTTAGTGGTGGCCTGCGGAAAAATCAAGTGTGTTACAAAACGTTGCCTCATGAAGCAACCAACTTAAGGCACGGATACGAATTATTAAAGCTTAAGGAAGTTACAACCTTTCGGAGGAATTTTGGTTCATTCGCAATCTGAGATTATTAAAAGAATTGTACGAGGCAGCAAAATCGAGGATAGAGAGCAAAATTTCCATGATGGCGATTTTCTGTTGTGCATTCAACTTGTTCCAGAACTTATTCTGCAAAAAAAGAAACATATTGAACATGATATATTGGATAATATCTAACATCATTGAAAATTACTGCCACTTTCCAAAGCCAACATGTTTATATAAGTAAAATAAAGAGATGAAACTGACTAGCATAATTTACTGAACTCCACATAATCTGGAGGGCATTTCTACCAACAATGAGAGCAAGCTCCAGATGGTATGAATTTCATATTTTGCAGGTTTACTTGAAGGCATGGCCTTAAAGTGATCGCAAAAGTTAACTAGACAGATCTGGTAGATCTTAGCATACTGCAGTCTTGCAAAAACTGACAGAGCACTATTTTGACCAATCACGTAGAACTATGATACAAGTACTAAATCTGCAACGGCACCTGGAAGTAACAATTGTGCGACACATTTGCTATCAACGGCACCTAGAAGTAACAATTGTGTGACAGAGCACTATATCTGCTAACTTATACCTGAATGCTATCAACGGCACCTAGAAGTAACAATTGGGTGACACATTTGCTTCTAATGGTTCCCAATATTAGACTTTCCTCCTCATCTCTGGAATCAGGCTCCACAGCTGCATCAAAAATCTAGATAACAGTAAAATGTCAAAAACAGCCTTTATTAGGTTTGACACTCAAATAAATACCAATAAGGACTCATTAGTTCAACAATGCAATTTAACATGTGTTGAACCACGGAGCTAAACAAAAAAGATGGAAAATACCTTCCATGTCGAATTAGGTATTAACAACAGAAAATATGAAGGGCAGATTTTCAACCCAATAAATTTAGTTTTCAACCAAGATACAAACATAGCAACAGCGCCCAATGAAAATTGAAGTAATTTGTATCAGAAAAACAAAATATTTCTTATCAGCAGCAAAAATAGAGCCTTAAAGTTTACACAAAGATATATTTTTTTTAATATATATATATATATATATGCCCAAATACAATGGACAGGACATGCATTAACCCACAAAACAGAAGATGGTCCAACCTTGGACGGTGAAGATGGTACCATTACGTCAGATGTACGGTCCTTCGGTTTTGATGTAAAACTTCTCAAAAACAGGTTGTCCATCACATTCCCCATGATTCTTTGTCCAAATGTCTGACTACGTTGAAGGCCTCCATCATCAGTAGCTCTTGCAGTTCGTCCCGAGGGTGATGGCATGCCTACAGATGCACACAGGATTTTAGCTTCCGATTTATGTATGATGCAAAAATTTATTACATTACAATCTGCTAACCTTCAGATCCCTCTGCATCCACAGGGCGCACTGTCTCTTGATTGACATCTACAACAATTCCATCGACATTAGCTTCTTTTTGGACTGTAATCCCATTTTCATAGACAGTACCCTGATGGTTGTCACTACAAGTTGCTACTGATGCAGGGCTGTCCAAGTCCCTTGTCAATGTTTTATGATGCTTAGCATTCTCAAAACCCAAATTGTTCAGAAGCTCAAGGGGTTGGGTTGCATATGTAGCATCCCTGGTCAAAACCAATAAGCACTGTAAAGACAAAATAAATGTAATGCCGCATGCAAAATTATCAACGAACAATGATTTCGAAAGGTGCCTCTGTGTGTCGGTCAGAGAGAGGGAGGGAGAAATGATGGTGTACCTTATACTTTTCAACAAAGTATTCCAGTCATGATCACTGAATTGATGTCCTCCAACTTCAATAAGATGCACCAATGCACCCAGAGATAGTGAAACTACGGACTGATCAGTTTTCTTGGCACAATCCAACAGTAAGCTGAGCAGTTGTGGCAGCATAAAACACACATCCTACATGAACGAGAGTCACAAAATTAAATATATGAGGCTGTCTGAAACAGAAAAAAAAGTGCGCTTAGAAATGATACCCAACAGAGCAGTCATGGCAGCAACCTTTCAAACCTAATACATGTTCGGTGAATATGGGAACTAATGTACATTTTGCTGGAAACTGCCGATTTTATGAAGTCATCATGTGACAATGAATTTAAAGACCAAAAGAGAAATGGAAACAAGAAAAAGAGTTGAAAGGCAGAGTACTTCCAAATCAACAGAAGGCAGAAAGATACAAGCCAAAAGTTTCACATGGGAAATGTATGATTACTTTTGCGCACAAACAATGTCTGACAACAGTTTAGTTTCTCTAGTTATGAGTGAGATGGCCATAGGAGGATTGATGTCCATTGCAACAACATAACTGTATATTCAGTTTCTGAGTGGAACAAGTACTGAATAAACGAACCAGGAAAACAAATATAGCTTATCACTAAAAGGCAGACACAGACTGGTGGACTGCAGATTCATGGCTAGGAGAAACAATAAGTTTTAATTGATCACTTTAATCCTTCAATACCTTGCCTTACCTTGTAAAACGTGTTAAAAAGGTTGCATAGCAACTGTAGTGAATGAACACTGCTTTCACGGACCCACCCTTCCTCAGAAGACGAAAAACTCTCTTTTCCGGCATGTCTTACATTATCAAAGATTGGAAACAGGACTCGTTGAAATATATTCTCCCAAAATGAAGATGAGAACTTGCTGCCTCTCTCATTCAACAGATCAAACAAAACCTCAAGCGCACAACTTCTGACCTCAGGTCTGGGATCAGAAGTCAAATCAGAAAGACCAGCAAGCATTGGAAACCAGTAGTGCTCAGTAACATCAAATGTTTCATCTGCAGCACTGTCTATTGGTTTCAGAACACCACCTGGTATTAGTCCCTGGAACGAACCACTATACTGTGAGCATGCCTCAGTTGAAATATTTGTTTTTCAGTGTGCCAATAGCTAAAACTGGCTATCGGTAGCTTTTCATATCATGCAACCAAAACTAACTATTTTTTTGTGACCATTCCAAAGAGGATTTAAATATAATCAAGCAAAAGCATGAAGTAAAGAACATAAAATATTTCATACGAATGAAAAATAGTTGTGAAAAGTTATATGTTAACATCCTGTTATAAATTTTATTTGTTGCTTCTTTTCTGACTTCCCTTCTTTGCAGGAGGGTTAGCCATGTAACATTAAAAATCAAATAGAAAGCATCAATAGCCAGCAGGTCACGATTATCATCTTAATATATATGATCTCAGGAAATAAGTTAAGGCAGAATATCCAAACATCTGAACCAAGCAAAAGTAGCTTTAGAAGAGACATGAAGGGAAATAAGGATAGACAGAAAATCCAAAGAATAGGACTCCGCTTTAGTTGTTTCAGATGAAAGACGAATGAAACAGACCAGAACAGATACAATGAAAGTTTATAGTAAATAACAGAAATTTGAGTAACTTTTGTGAAGCATAAACATATTAAGCATACACATGTACGGTTTATAAATGGATCGGTAATACTAAAATAGTTAACGAAAGAAAGAACAGAATCTCCCTCAATATGACTTGGGAAATACAATGATATCGTGACAGTGACAGTGCATTTTTACATCAAGTTTTAAGTTTCAACGACAACCGCAGTTCTCATATATGTTAACAAAGATATGATGTAATGCTCATCATCACTAAAAACAAAAGATCTTAATAAAACTAGGCAAACTGAATATTAGATAATAAACCTCTGCAAGACGGTCCTCACAAATCCGCAGCAGAGCAATGGCTTTCAAACTTATGCGGTGAGAACTTTTATTATTAGCAAAACCAATCAGGCAATTGACACAATCCATAAAGCAATCTCCAACAACCTGATCAAAGTGTTCCAGTACAACTGCAATACCACTCTGTCAGACATGTCATTTTAACAATTTTTTCAATTATCTAAATGCTCGAAAAGAAAGACAAAACAAATAATGATAATGGTAAGCCAAAAATGAAAAGGTTCCTACCCTGTTCGACATTCTCAAAGGCACTCTCAACAATGGGTTCTGTGTCATCATCAGCAGCAGCAGTGAAAATCATGAAAACACTTCGCCATCCAGACTTTATGCTTCCAACTTTGGATTTTATCATCTGCTATCCCAATAGAAAGTGTTAATTAAACAGCATAACTCAGAGACGACAAGAACGTAAAACTATGCACACATACTTGCACAATGCAATCCACTATAAGCCTTCGTATGGTATCGCTTCTGCTGCTCCGAATGAGAACAACAAATGGTTTCAAAATATCATTCTGAAAAGTGAAGTTTGCCAGCTCAGCACGCTCTAAATACTTTACAGCAAGTTGCCGTAGAGAATCTATTGCATACATAGCGACTTTTTCGTCAGGATGACTCCCAGCAAAAATAAAATGATGGGCCAATACGGACCATATTCTAGCCCAAACCTGAGATAGATAAAGAAAACTTTTAGTATCTATAAGCACCTAGTGTTCATGTGACATGGGCTCTCTAGTCACTAATAAATAATATTTGTAGTGTTGAGCAAATAAAAATAGGTGTTTCAATGTCATAGGTACAAGATTTCCACCTTAAAAACAATGATATGCGTACAAATTGTTGATAACGAAAGAATTTCTATAATGAGAGCATATGTAAGATGACAAATTTGTATACTCCAAGGAAAAACAAAACAAATGTGGACATACCCAGTCATAAATCGGTAAGAGAAGTACATAACTATTGGGAGAAACATTTGTCATCAATTTACCCATATTATTAAGTTGAAATATTTGTTTATTTTCTGATTTGACAACATATTGTAGACTGGAAGATAGCTCCAAGAAGAAAAGAAGTATCAAACCACAAAATATATAACGAAGAATAAGACGCATATAATTTAAAAATAATAAAAAAACTTAAAATGAAGAAATAAAAGCAGAAGACATAAACACCAGGGAGTTTTAGCACCAACAAAGCAGCTAGAGGTAGACAAGAGACAGCTTAATTTTAGCAGGCAAAGTAATTACCAGCCTTATACGAGCCATATTGTAGTAGCTAATTTCGACAACCTTCTGCAAGCTAAAAACACGTGCTGGAATCTGCTTTAATTCCTCAGCTGACACACTGCACAAAGCAGTAAAGAACTCCACAACTGTTTCACTGGGCAATTTGATGCTATTCACAAAAACTTGTTCGGTTGGTTTTCCAGCCAGCTCTCTCAGAGATTGAATAATAGCATCTCTAGAGATTTGATTAGATCCTTGCATGACAACTGCAGTCATAGCTGGCCATGATACTGCATATTCTAGACGGGAAATGCATTCCAGAATGGCAAACCAAGAGTCTTGAAAGGCATAGATCTCAGTATCACATAAAGTAAGAAGAGTTCGTAGTGCCTCTACATTTTTTCGATGCATATCTCGTGGTGCATGCAAAAAAGTATACCTGCAATTTTTGTAGATATGAACAAGCTTCGTATACAGTCAAAAACTATGTCAAAAAGCAAGTTAATCATTGCTTTTATCAGATTAACTTGTAACGAGAGCATCTTATGGCCATGCGAAGTTTTTCAGAAGCTATTTGCATGCAAACCTACAATCCATCTCCCCCTTTCAACTTTACTGAAGTTACATAATCCCTTCTGCTCTAGTAGATCTATACCAAGTAATTAAACCCCTGCCATTCTCGTCTCCTTAATCAGCCAATTTTAAGTCATTAATATTATCATCTCTAGGTTAGAGCATTTTTTTGTTCGATACGGTACTTAAACCAAGTACTGTTGTGTTCATACGAAGCTTGTCTACAGGAAAAAAGGGGGAAAAAAAATACGATTCTTCCTTTGAGAAATAATTTGTTCTTGCATCGCAACTCAGAAACTGTAGAAAATAAGCACAATTCGGATTAGTAAAGGGACAAAAAGAAGTTGACAACAACAATATGGCTTAAGAAACACTGTCTAATCTTCCCACAGTTCCAGATACCTAAATAACTGGAACTGGTTCTGATAGAAACAATGTCAACATGAGAAGAATATCAAAAGAAAGCCACGACTTGGAGATCCCAAAGATTATAAAAAATAGGATAACCAATTACTACATACAAGCACAACAAATCAGTAGGAAAATGAGAATTACCGAATCAAAGATGTCAAAAGGGCATAACGCATTGTGTCCATTTTAAGAACATATGTTATGTGTATCCCTTCTTTGAACCCTTCCATACAAAGACCAATCCTCGGTTTGTTATCTATTTCACCCATAGTAACCGCAAAAGCAGCAAGTAATGGCCATCCTACAGCTTCAACCATGAGACGTACAAGTTCAATTCTATGTGAAGTGTAGAAGACCCCTCTTCTTCCCCCGCGATCCTTCATTATAGCCTGAATTTGCTTGACAATTGCCTCGCTCTCAGGCTTAGTGTCCGTTGAAGAGCTCATTTTTGGAATAGCCAGATTCAGAATGTTGATGAGACCTCTGTCCTCAATTTCTGGCTTTTGCTTACTGTTATTCAAAATTCCAGCAGGATCATCTTTCATTTTTATCTCCTCTCTAACAATAGAATCATATATCTCCTCTAAGAGTTCCGGAGGAGCAGATTCTTCAGCATCATTCATCGCATTTATGCGTACAAAATCACTTTTGGACATTTTTGGCCAAACCATTGGATTATGAGCATCAGTATTCAACATTATAACTGCATAAGCAAGGACATAAGCGGTGTCGGCATTCTTGAATAGACCAGGATTATCTGCACAATAGCTGGTTCAGAATAACGCTGTGTTAAAATACGGAAATATTAGCTCCTAGCTAGTTACAATGCAAGGTATATGCAGCTTAGTTAATGGCTTATCTAAACTCTCAAGTTTTCAATCTCAATGAGCAATTCTGATTATAGAAACAAATATTACATTTTACACCAAACAATTTAAAAACTATAGATTACATAATCAGATCTATTAGCTTGAGAGGCCAACCCAAAACTTTGTGCAAAATCACAAAAAAGTAAACTCATAGCAAACAAGTGGGAACATGGAAATCGGTCAAAATGTGTTTCTGAGGTTCATGAACAAACTCAATTGAAGGGAAATCATTCAAGTTCTGCGAAACCATGTTCTCAATTTAAGTAAACCCTTGTGACACTAAAGAGTATGTGAAATCAAGGAGAGTAGATTTATTTATAAGGTGAAGGTATTGGGATACATTTCTGCAGCCCCCACTTAACACATGTTATTCATCTTCTGTTGGCCGATGCATGTATCCAGTCCTAACTTCAGTTATTTCATCTGCTCTTTGAGTTTGGAAAACAGTGGGGTTTGGTCATATTTTTCCAATACTTATAAAACACCACAATTACATAAATGATATATGTTAACTCCAAATTGTCAACTTCAACCCTTCAACATATTTGTGCATCATATTTGCAAACTTCAGAGCCTAAGAGCGTCGTGCCTTCACAGTTAAGACAACTCCTATCATTATTTGCTAAACGACAAACAATCATCATTGATAGTTAAAATGCTGGTTATGACTGGTAAAAGCATTTAACAGTCTCAACACTATTATCATTGTTCTGAGAATAAATAATCTGCCATGTCTAGTCAAATGCACATCATAAAGAAAAACTGGTTTTTAAATATGTAGCCTCAGCTACATTCTGCAATAATTTTGAATAGAAACGTAGCTACTGCTAAGATGTGCCTTGTAAGTGCACAAGCTAAAAAGCTAAATGAGCCAACCGAGATAGGCCTTATAGGTAGATGCAATATTGTAGAACCAGTTAAGTGAATGAAAACAATGTAGACACTTGCGGGCACTTCCATGAAGCTACACACCACATATAGCATATGAAATTTAGATTTTCATGAAGTTAGAAACATCTAATCAAAATGACATTGAGATATTAAAATGGGATAGAAATTCCTTTTAGGATGGGTTGACTTGCAAAGGGCATTTACAGCTTAATTGATAGAAAGTTATCTTTACGTCTTATTGTTTATACTACTAACCATTTGAATCCATTCGCACTATATTCATCACCACAGTAAGGTTTTGTAAATTTCCAGGTTTTAGAAAAAGATAAACCTGTATTTTTGAAAAAGGCATTAATTTTTTATTCCCTGATACCAGGCTGTATCAGTCCCAATGCAGGCAAATGCAGCAACACAAAGTACATACCGTTCTGCAAATTTTTCCATTATTCTATCTATCTTCTGAGCTTCCCCTGGAAGTCGAAAGCCTTTAAGAAACTCACGGATGGCTAAGTCAAACTTCATTCCAGAGAAATTCATGGAGTCCACAAATGCATGCATAACAGCGAGGGGGAACTCCTCATGCTGGCCCAAGTAATCCCCAATCATAGCCTGGAATATAAATATAAATCAGTAAGATATAGTGGGAATTATTCATCCATGAAAATAAACTTTCCAATAGAAAAACCCAGCTTATACCTTGTCTAGATTAGGGGTATTTCTCAGAAACTGAGCAACTGCAGCTGGAGTTTTCTCCACCAACCCACTGGATATTAAATGCTGAATGCCCTTTCCTGGATGTCGATTAAACTGTGCAGATTTCAAAACAATTAGAGACCATTAGAGGAACTCAAACAGGGAATAGCCAAAACAATATTTGCTCAACAACTCTAATTCATATATGACATGAAGAATGGAAATATCCACAAACCTCAGAGACAACAGTTTCAATGATGGATTTATGAGCCTTCAGCTTCTCAAAATTGCTTGGTGAGTCTTCCTTACTTTTTGATTCACTCAATTCTCTAGATGAAATTGCATCCTCCGAAAATTCCTTGCCCTCATTCTGATTTTCTGATTCTCTATGAGACTTCTCCAAAAGCACTAATGACTTCAGCACATTCACAAGACCCTAAAAAGATTCAACAGGAGTCAACCAGCCAAATAGAATATGTTATATTTAGACAAAAATCGTCAAGAGCACAACAATAAGGCGCTGAAAGTGTGGTCAAAGTCTATGGTATACCTGAAGAGATGATGTCTTAAGTTGCCCAGTCTGTAGTGTGGTTGCAGACTTTGGATCCACATTATGTGTACCTTGAGCAATCTTGGACAATGTGGCAATCTGAAAAGAAGGCATCATGGAACAAGAAAATTACGGACATAAAATCAAGTTAGTACTTTGTTTTTTCAAGATGTATAGCATACCACTCTTTCAAACAAGTTTGGTGCCTCAAGATCACAGTCATAGTTCACATAGAGGTCAACAAGCATCTGAGGATCCCGGCATACCTTCTCCAGCATCCTACCAATTTTGATTACATGTAAAATGCTTATAAATTCAATTAAAAAAATTGCAGGTAACAGGAGCTGGCGAGAAACAAGCAAAATGTCAGGAACACTCAAACAATCTCTTTTTTTCAGATCACTGAAGTCTGCGGATGAAATTCAAGAACTAAGATCTACGTTATTCTTAGTTTGAAAAGTAATACTGTTTCAGAATGAGGAAACAAAACCATACCGAAGAACACTTAATTTTTGGTTTACATCTGAGCCATCCAATGATCGTAGAATAATCACTGGGAAGAAGACTCCAATCTCTGCCTGGAATGTGTTCATTCATCAGGGTGGTTTCATTTCGTACAAGATTAGTAGAAAAAAAAAAGTAAAATAAGTCTATTCACACCTTGAAGCTTTCCCTAAAACGCAACAAAAGAACTGCAAATAATCCTGTTGCATACTGCAGAGGGACATCAGCAAATACATTAGCACCATCACGACAACCGTTTACAGGAATATCATATGAAACAAATCAAAAGAGAGACAACCAAACTATACCTGAGATATTGCAGGAGAGTGCGACATTGATGCTCGTAGTAATGCATATGAAAGGTGAGCTTTAATCGAGTCGATGAATGGAAAGTTTTTTGTGAACGAGTAACTAACACCTTCCAATAAACCCTGCATTTATCATCAATAGCATATTATATCGCATTTGCTGCATAAATATTAAATAGTTCCTCGTTACATTATCAACGGACAAGCAAGCCTGAAGCTTAATTTATAAATATCTAGCTTATGCAGTTTGATTGGAATAGAGGTAGCGATAAAGATCTTTGTCAGCGTATAAAATAAAGATAGCTATAAAGATCTTGGTCGGTGTACAAAATTTTGAAAACAAGCATAAAAAACCCAGAACCAAAAACCATTGAGGGAAAAAACAAAATCGGTATCAAAAACAATGGTTGTGGTATCCACTATCCAATAAATGAAGAAATGTTGATAACTTGATATGAAGCACAATCACCCAGAGTTCGTTGGAATAAGGTCCTGCGAAGTTCCTGAGTCATCCATTTAGCAAACCATCTTAAGGACAACTACCAGTGTGGAAACTTCTCATTCACAAAACTCATTGTTCAATACCATAATAGAATAATGAAATCGAGCTTCCCCCATAAAAAGATGAACAGGAGAAGGATCAGCAATATTGAAACATTTTTGTACTAGGATGCAACTAAAATCATTGAAGTAAAGTTAAACTAAGACGAGATATACTATTCTTTTCCCTACCACAAGCTTTCTTCATTCCGGAAAATATTGAAACTGACCTGCAGAAGCTCCAGAGACAAAATCCGTGATCTGGTAATAACTTCATCATTGTCCTCCTTCATACCCATCTGCAAACAAATTTTATTATTCCATGAGTGTTGGCACAGTGAAACTTTGAACTATAAAAGTAAAGATGGTACACAAACCTTACAAAGAGTACGGAAAAGAAGTAATGCATCTCTTTGTACGACACTCATGTTCTCCAGGCCCTTCCCTCTAAAAGAACCAGAAATCCAAAATTCCAAAAGTCATACATTAACAAACTAGTAACAAAATAAACTATGTAAGAAAAACTTATTTGATCTAAAACATGTCTCCAGAGCAATATCCCACATGATAAATTCTTCCTAAAATAATACAGTCCCAACTCAAGCTTTTTTTTCATACCTTGTGACTTTTGTACCGTCTTCAAGATCCACAGCCTTCTCAAGAACAGCTTCTAAACCCTATACTTAAAACACTTTTAGACTACAATAATCCAATAGGCAAATCTTATATAAAATCTCACCGACGGCAAAAAAATAATTGAAAAATGGAAATATACAAATGCAAAGTGAACAGTTGAATTGACATGATCTCTCCCAATGTATATCAGTGTACCTTTATATCAGTGCCACCGACGAGACCCTGAATTTCTTCAGATGCATCATTTATTGGTTTCGGAGAGAGTGTTTCACGCAATATCATATTTGGCTCATTATTATTACTGGATGACAGTTCTTCAACCATTGGTTTTGACCCGTGTTCCAAGTGAACTGCCGAGGGCTCAGGATTTGAAGAGACCTAAACCACCAGAATTAGTTACTAACTCATAATCAATCCAATCCAACCATGCAGCAAACATGGATACAGAAGGACAATTGAATCAAATACCACATCTGTTTCCATCCGTCTGAAAACGGTACTGAGCATTTGTGTAAGCATTGCCTTTGCCGTTGCTTGGTTGATTGGACTCTTGCTACACATTTGAGCATTTGTTATAAGCACTAGATAATGTACAAACAAATAGATAAGGACACCTTTCACAAGCATACCTATTGAGAGCAATGTTATAGCACACCCGGATGACTCCCAGCAAGGGTTCACCATGAACTGCACAAGAATAGATCCAAATTGAATATATCTGACCTGGTTAAGTATCTTTGTACTGTCCTTGTAGTACCTATTTACACAATAGGTACAGCTAATTCTAATTGATTGCACTAGATTAAAAGCTTATTTCGTATGTCTAAGCTCTAAAAGGATCTTCCTAATATCAACACTAAAAAGAAAATTGGGCCGATTCCACTAGAAGTCCACATCATATGAACAATATGTGGGAATAAATTTTTTTAAGATCTAAACTGCATTAAAGACTATAAACCATGAGCATTATAAAGTTATAATGCACATTAAATGTAAATTTCAAATATGCCATGCGTATGAAAACCCTGACCATTTTGAACTTCCGCGAAATCGGAAATGTCATTTAACATAGTAATGAAATGTATATTTTAAAAACCCCTTCCACAAACCAAAACTCTAGTATTGCTTATCGTGGCCCCTTCAAACCCAAAAAAAAAAAAAAAAAAAAAAAAAGAAAATCAAAAACATCAACAATAGATTTGGGGGCTTTTAGTAAAGTTGGGAGGATCGATTGGCCAATACTATTTACCTGATCTTCATATCCAGAGATTTTTTAATTTTTATTTTTTTGTATAGTAGCCACAGAGCTGACCCAATGGCTTTAATTCAATGTAAAAAGGAAATAGGACCCAACAATAAGGAAGTTTAGGGCAGAAAAAAAATGAAGTAATAGAAAGAAAACATGAAAGATCTAAGTGGGTGAACTACATCTCAAACATAAGGGAGTCAATTGTAGCACCCAACAAAGAGTTGCGTTATCCAAGGTTTGACTCCATAGTAGAGTCAATCTTCTATGTACAACAAGTAAAAATACAGATTAAATAAAAATAAAAATACAAATAAAACTTAAATTATATTTATTAAGTAATTAGAAATATGGTATATTTTACTTACCGTGCATAGAAAGTTGGCTCCACTATGGAACCAACTGTTGGCTCCACAGCAAAACTGATATACAACAATATGAGAATTTATAATGGAAAAACAACAACATACCGAGCTTTTTTCGAATAGAAAATCCAAATAGAAATATTCTACATATCTATTGAACCCAATTTAATCATTTTAAGTTTCCAGGTTCACAAAAGAGAATGCACAACCATTTAAGTCATCACCAACTTATCTAGTTTTTTAAATTTGTCAGGTTGCATCTAGTGCACATAGGTGAAAGCAATCAATAACACACCGTGTTACTTTCCAACTAAGAAGTGACGAGACAATTGATAGATAAATTGTTTTTCTTTTATTGTAAGAATAATGAAATATGTTTAAATTTTCCATTAAATTTACGACAACTAACAAGATTATCAAAGAGGTTTTGGCATATATTATAAGACCAAGTAAGTTGCCAACAAGACGTCGCACATATGTATCCTTTTTCTTTTTAACATACTTTCCACAAAAAAGAACCATCACATATGAACATAGAAATATTCTTAATGAAGAGAGTGTGCTTGAGTGAATGAGATGAGAGGCTAAAATTCCATTACAACCAAACAGAATGGAATTTATAGTGAGAGAGTGAGATTAGAGGCTAAAATGCCATTACAACCTAACTGAATGAAATTTATCATAAAATAGATGAGCAAAAACATTTGGCAATCACTAAAGGAGTAAATAAAAGAATAGAGGCTAAAATGCCATTACAACCTAACTGAATGAAATTTATCATAAAATAGATGAGCAAAAACATTTGGCAATCACTAGAAGAGTAAATAAAAGAAGCAAAAAAAAATAATAATAATATAATACTTGGGAAGGGGAAAAAACGATAACAAGGAAAAATGAAAAAACTATTAAGTTGATAAAAAAACAAACCTCGCATCTTTGTTGACGCTACGGCAGTAAGAAGCACTTTCAATACTTGAAGAGTGGTACTGCATTTTATCTTCTCAAGGTCACATTCAAAAATGCCAAAGATGCAGAGAAGTGTCAATTTCAATCTGCCAATAATTACCTGTCTGGTGAGGAATTATCCACGGAACTGCAGGCCATATTCAAGATGTCTGCAAATAGTTGCGCGTTTTTAGCACCATCAAGACCAGGATCACCCTCCAGGTGATTGTATTCAATGAGTTTCTACATTAAGAAAACAAAAAATAAACACTAAATTAGCACCCATAACTTAAACAAGTGATATATAACAAACGTTCTAGCTCAAGAAGCTTCACAGATCGCAGTAATGGGAATGAAAATGCCAATAACAGGCCTACAGATGGAACATGAAAATGAAAACGCACGGAAAATACAAGGAACCCACATCAATCAAAAATAACATATCAACTTTTACCTTGGAAGTGTTAAAGGCTGTATTACCAGAACTGCAAAAGACAGTTAATAACATTAGCACCTACAAATGAAATGAGAACCTACATGAAGGCAATCCAATGCAAGCTCCACGATCTTTATGTTCTTTGTTTCAAAGGCAAGCCTAAGAGGATTCAGGACAAGCTCAGCCTCAGCTTCCCCTAAAGTATGACTTGTCTTCGCCAAGACCACTGTGATCGATTCAGTACATTTGGTTGGCCTTTCTACCTCCTCAGGAACAGATGGATTTCCAATGGAAGGACCATCTCCCACCTCAGTTTCTTCAACTCTAGCATCAGGCTCAGATGAACTGCTAACAGAATTCGTTGCAAAAATCAAAACCATAGGAGAGCTGAGACAGAGTGGAACACTGTAAACAACGTGACCCAGACAGCAGGAAACTTAATTACATTTAAGGTAAAATAAAGCAAGTATGTCATCCTCAACATCCATCACTAAAGTACCCCGAACAGAGCTAGATGAGGATTGAACCAAGAGACCATGCATATGTGCTCGCATGGTGTGAAGGATCTATGACTACTCCATTGAAACAGTTGCCTTAATCTATTATTAAACAAGAATAGATGCCCAACAATCTACAGTGGTCAACTTAAGCCTCAAACACACATTAACTTAACCTAACAATTAGTCTTGACAATTAATGAAAGACTGAATCGCTTATGTCTGGAAGGCACATGAAGACACCAAGAGAGACAGAAAAGCAAATAAAAGACATGCAGCACGCACACGCAGGCTGAAACAGAGAAACAAGCAACCTGGGGTTTTCCCAGAATATTAATTGAAAAGGAAATCAATCACCTCTGAATATAATATATTGGGCACCAACTTTGATATAAGACATGAGTCAAGCACACACATCTGTGCCATGAGTATATTCATTCCTTTCCACATCTGTTCAACTAGTTTATCATACGCACATTCTGCCATGCTAGTATACTTTCTCATCTTCATCTATTTCTATTGCACTCTTGTTCTAATTACTCTACCTTCCTGATTTATTACTTTATTGTCTGTGTAATTTACTCTAGCTACTAATATTAAACATATGGGCATAAACATAACAAAATCATAAAAATCACACTGAAGCTTAAACACCTTTGATTTGAAACTTCTGATAAAGCTTCCTTAGCCTCTCCAATGCTAGACTGCTGATTAAGGTCCTTTCCACTGTCTGAAAATGTTAAAAACAATTCACAAGTGCCCATTAGTTAAAGGGTTTTCAACTGAAATGAAGACTATAAATAGCAATTGAATTCACGTGTTAGACAATTGAGAAGCGAGAAACACGCATTCAGATATCACTACTGAGAGAACTCAAATTACATCAATCAATCGAGCTTCCACAGTTAAAGAGAATAGAAATTCAAAATTCAACAGCTAAAGAGAATGAAATCCAAAATTCTACAGTCTCCTAGTTCTCCACAATGCAGGGAATGAAAATCAAAATTCCTACAGTTAAAGAGATCTGAATATTGCACATGGATGTACCTAAGCAAGCCTGAATGGCAGACTGGAGCGCATCGTATTTCCTGACAGCACACTCTTTGAGCATCGACTCGAATGCTCGAGTCACAAAACCTCCGGCCGCGCCTCCCGCCATTGCTCCTTCCAGCTCAGTTCAGCTCAATCTCCTGGCGAAAGGAAGATAAACTTTAAATTTCCTATGCGATCCGAGGCATCAGTGAAAGAGAATTGAGAAGAGTCGATAAGGTGACGGCAATAGATTTAAGATCCTGAGACGAAATAATGAGAATTATGAAGCATATATCGGAAAAAAATGGATTCACCTAGCCTTTCAGTGAACAGAACTCGCTTGAGTGAGTAAATCAGAGATCCGCCATGGAAGAGTGAGAAAGAGGAATACGCGAGTGAGGATCGGTGTGCCGTGATTGCCGTAAATGCGCCTCTTGCGTCTGATTTGGGCTGCAATAAAAAAGAAGGAACGAAGTCGTGTTTTAACTTTTAACATCATATATACGGGTTTTTCAGTGTTTCCTATGTCGGGTCGGGTTATGACCTTTTATACACTTAATCTATGTATATATATAATTGCTAGCTTATAATTGATATATCCTATTGAGCGTAATTATGTAATTTTTTATCATTAATATTTTTTAATATTCGATTACAAAATTTATCATTAATATTTTTTTACTTCTCACATTAATACATCATATTAAGTGTAATTATGTAATTTTTTATTATATTATATAATAATCTATATATATATAATTGCTAGCATATAGCATTTAATAAAACCTATTTAATAAAACCTCTAAAAAATTTCCCTCCATTTTCGGTTACAAATTTATCATTAACTAGTATTCGACCCTGTGCATTTGCACAGATGTAAATAAAGTATTGTGAAGTATTGTGAGTTATCTGTATGCATATATGCATAATTAATTATTTTTCTTTCACTTTTTTGTATGCCAACATTTACAAATAGAAAAGTTGGAATATTTACTTTTTTTTTAAATTGCGTTTATCGAATTGGATGTAATGTATATTTTGTTACGTCTTTTTTTCTGAATTATTTTTCATTTATTTAGGAATTTCAAATACGTTTTTAATTTTTAAAAAAAAAAAAATAATTTAAATGTAACCACAATAATAACATCTAATCACATTGTACAATCAAAACATTATATGGTCAACTGTCACTAATAAAAAGTTTAAAATGATTTTTGTAATTTTGAAGTGATTAGTATTGATTATTTAATAATTAAATAAAATATTAAATACATAAAAAAGTAACGGTTTTTTGAGGGAAAAATATTAAATTGCCACATAGGTAAAATTAATTAGGTTTTATTAAATGCTATTGGCTAGTAATTATATATATATATAGATATCTTTTTACTTCTCACATTAATACATCCTATTAAGTGTAATCATGTATTTTTTTTATTATATTATATAATAGTTATTGTTAATACCAACTAATAATAATTCACAATAAATATAAATTTACCTAATTGTGAACAATTGTTTCAAGTTATTTATATAAATACCAATATTATCTTTTTCTTTTGTATCTCATGAAAAAATTTCTTTAAAAATAATTAGTAAATTGTTTTAATAGCATAGTCAAACAACTATAGAATCTTATAAACAATTGTTTCTTAATAATAATAATAATAATAATAATAATAACAACAATAATAATAATAATAATAATAATGATCAACTATTATTATATAATGAAATAAATAATTGTTCATAATAATAAAATCGTTAATTTATTTTTCCTAATGATCAAATTTTTTAAAATGTAATATGTTTATTATCTAGAATTTTAATATTAAATTCTCAAATATTACTTAGAATATTTTATATACATATGTGCATGTGCACAGGATATCTACTAGTTAATGCTAATAACAACAAATAATAATTCACAACAAATATACATTACGTCATCTGAAACAATTGTATCAAGTTGTTTATTTTAACATCAATATTATCTTTTTATTTTGTATCTCATAAAAAAAATTCTTTAAAAACAATTAGTAAATAGTTTTAATAGCATAGTCAAACAACTTTAAAATCTTATAAACAATTGTTGTTGTAATAGTGATAATAATAATAATTAAATTGTTATTATCTAATGATAATAAACAGTTGTTCATAACAATAAACAATCGTTATTTTATTTTTTTCTAATGATCAATTTTACTTTTTCTGATGATAAAATTTTAAAAGTGTAATGTGTTCATTATCTAGAATTTTAATATTAAGTTCTCAAATATTACTTATAATATTTTATGTAAATTTGTGCATGTGCACAGGATATTTTCTAATTTGGAATAAAGTCAACAAAGGAATAATAAGGATGATTTTGTATATAGTGGGGTAAATTATATGGAAATTTTGTTGATTTTCTATATTTGTTATGGAAAAATTGTATGGAATATATTCTCTATACATCATTTTTACAGGTGATTTTCTACATATAACCTAAAAAAAATGGATAAACTTTCTTTCAGTTTTGTTCTCGAATTTTATTGTCATTTTCCCATTTTAAAATTACAACCTAGTGGAAAATCAAAAAACTATCAAATAAAATAAGTAGATTAAATTAATTCATAGTATTTTTTTTTTATTTTGTCAAATTCCAATATCATTTGTACTTTTTATAATCGGTTTTGTTATGAAGCCAACAGTTGGCTCCATAGTGGAGTCAACCTTCTATATACAACAAGTAAATCTATCATATTATCTAATTACTTAAATAACACTAATATAATTTTATTAATATGATGGCCCCGTTTGGAAGATAGCGGATTGAAGATAAATTAGCGGATTGGACTTAATTGAGAGGTTTGACCCGTCAAATCCGCTATTGAGCTTGTTTGGTAAATAGCTCATTTGATAAGTTTTTTCGGCCCAAAACTCTAATTTAGAAAAAGCTCATTAGATGAGCTTTTTGGGATAGAGGATTCACAATTTACTATTTTAATTTGAAACTTTTTAATTTGTATTATTTATTTTACAATTTATATTGGTTTATGGTGCTAATAAATAATAATATGTCATCTATATGATTAATTTATCTAGAAAAATTTAAAATTTATAACTTCTTAATCAAGTGTTAGTAAATTTTTTTAAAAAAATAATATATTTATAAATTACCAACTAAAGAATATTAAATGTTTTAATATATTATTATTAAAAGAATACACCCTAAATAATAAAATATCCTTATTGGTAATTTGCAATGTCAAACAGCTATAAGCTTTCAGCTATTTACCAAACACTTATTTAAAAACCGCTAATGCAATTCGCTGGTCAAATCAGCTAATATAATCCGCTATCCGCTATCTGCTGATCGCCAAACAAGGCCGATATATTTTTTTGTTGTATATAAAAAGTTGGCTCCACCATGGAGTCAACTGTTGACTTCATAGCAAAACCGTTTTTATAACTCTGAATGATCGATATAACTTCGACGTACATAACTATCGAGAGTGGGCGGACTGACTTAGCTACGATAGTCCTCAAACATGACAAGAATCAAGAGGAATCAGAGCACAATCGTGCTTGAGAAAAGATCAAACTATATAATGAAGTTACTTGGACGAGTTGTTAATTTAGTGTCGGAATGGCTTGTGGAGAACGAAGATTGAAATTCAAAAATTAGACTCTGTGTTGGTCTTAGAAACATTGGTCATATTTAATGCAACTCGACACAATGGAATTCAAGTTCGATGGTTGGTATCCCTCCAATTTAAAGGTATACCCGACCAACTTGGTGGATTGTCTTTAAGTATTGAATAACACTGAGAAACTTATAAGATTAATTACATACTAACAAATAGTTGTTTTTCAACCAAACATACCCTCAATGTAAATAAATTATTAAAATATTAACATGTTTCATGCACACTACGAAATATTAGGGGTGGTCTCGGTTCGGTTTTAACCGGAAAAAACCGTCAATCCGGACCGCGAATCTGTTAAATGGTCGGTTAAAAAAGTCTTAAAAAATCCGGTGGCTAATTTTTTTAAAAATCCAGAATAACCGGTCCAGTTAACGGATTGCCTGTGGCAAACCGCCGGTTTAACCGGACCGGTAAATATTAAAAAATTATAACAACTATATATATATATATACACATTCAGTCAATCACTATGATCGTTAAATACAATACATTCACTTTTACTTTTTCGCCTTTTGTTGACTTAATTTTGTAAGACACTATAACTTTTCACTTTTTCCCACCTTGTTTGGGTTTAGTTTGCATAATTAAATCTTCATCATTTTTATACTTTTATGTTTATGAGACGAAATGTGTATTTTTATGTTTGTGGGACGAATTGTGTATTTTTTTATTTCATTATTGTTGTTTTTTTTTTTTTAATTTTTAGGCCCAAATAATCTCTTTTGGGTCCGAAATTGAAAAATAAAAATTAAGCCCAAATTGAAAAAAATAAAAATTGAAGGCCCGAAACAAGGATTTTAGATTTAACCGGTTAACCGCCAAACCGGACCGTCCAATGCGTTCCGGATTGTGGCCGGTTAAAAAATAAAACCGGTCCGATTATGGACAAAAAAAAAAAAAAATTAACCGTTAGGTCCGGTTTGGTCATTGTTTGGGCTAAAACCGGACCAATTCGGACCGTGAACACCCCTACGAAATATGAATTCATTAAGGTATAACAAATAATTAGTTTAAATATACATCAAACTTCAAATATTGGGATAAAATATTAATTATGAGGTAAAAGAGGTAAAATTAAATGTGATTACGCACACTCTTAAATGGGAGTCGGACCAAAACTAATCCTTTGGACAATTCTTTGGACATAACAACTGCGAAAGAATCGTGCAAGAATCAATCTTAGATATTGGGTTTTTCTTTTGGGCCATGTGTTGTGATTTCTCAACATGTTTGTTTTGTCGAGAGGAGGGCACGACTCTATGATTGACGTTGTATTGAAAAACAAATGTTTTAATTTATCAAAATATTTTTATGATTTTTTTTAATATATAACTAAATGTACTAAGGGCATCTACATCCATTTAACACAAAAATCATTCATTCAATAAAAAATAAACACTTTCTATCCTCCACATTATTTTTCCACTAAATCTCTCTCCATTTAAACACACACCTACATTCCTACCCATTCATTTAAATACGTATGTGGGACCCATTATCCACTCATTCAATAAAATTTTTTATATTCTATTTTCAATAAAAATAAAAATTTAATATTTTTAAATTATAATAATTATTTTTAAACACATGAAAATAGAAGTACACTTCAAGGACACAATAACTTAAATTGAGATTACACTAAAAAATTGTAGAATTACAAAAATAAATTGAATATAATGGAAAATAAGATTGAATAAACAATCATTTTAAAACAAACAAAAAAAAGATTGAATACAATTATTTTA